TGTTGCAAATCACATATTTGAGAAGAGACTTGTATCTAGAACATACAAAGAATTCTTGTAAGTCAACAACAAAAAGACAAACAACTAGCTTTAAAAATGGGCAGAGGATTTGAGTACACCTTTTCCAAAGAAAATGTACAGATGCCCAATAAGCACAGGGAAACCTGAAACATTATCAGAGACCAGGGACATGCAAATCAAAACCACAACAAGAAACCCTCATACCGACTAAGGCTGATAAAATTAAAGACAGAAAAATGAAGGCTGAGAAAAAGGCTCAGAGGGTGAAGTACTTGGTGCATGAGTGACAGAACCTACATAAAATCTGGGTGTGATGGTGCACCTACAACTGCAACACTGAAGAAGCAGAGACAGGCGTTCTCAGGGCCTGTTGGCCAGCGAGTATAACCAAGATGGTGAACTCCATGTTCAATGAGAGACTCTTGTCTTCAGCAATAGAGGAAGAATTCTAAAATCAACCTATGGATTCCACAAGTGCATATACATTTTCACACATGCATACACATGTGAATGCACCCACACAAATATTCTCAATAGTTCAATAGTTCTCTCCGTTCGTTTATTTTTATTCATTTTCTCTCTCTCTCTCTCTCTCTCTCTCTCTCTCTCTCTCTCTCTCTCTCTCTCTCTCTCTCTCTCTGTGTGTGTGTGTGTGTGTGTGTGTGTATCTCACACATGCACAGAGTGATAAGGGAGAGGAGAAAAGAGAGAGAAAATACTGATGAAGTGGTAGATAAATCAGAACTTTCAGGTGATGGTTACATGATCTAATGTAATTTATTTCATTTTCATTTTATATGTATGAGTGTATTCCCTGCATGTATGCATGTGTGCTACTTGTGTGTCTGGGACTTACAAAGGTCCATGAAAACTTCTTCTCCTTTCCCTTCTTTTGTACCAAGCTTCCTCCTCCTCTTTTCAGATCTGCTTTGGCAAAATGGCCTCCTAGAAGCTCCCCTGGTTCACTGGCTGGGTCGTCAGCTTCTTGGGAATCACTTTCATACTACGGGCTCTAATACTACTGCCATCATAAACATTTATTGATTTTAAACTGGGTTCAAGAACTTTCTACACAGTATTGACTTGTATCCTCCAGCTGATCATTCAACTGGGATCCTGAGAATCCCACCTTGAGGCACAGAAGACCCAGCAAAAAGTACAGGACGTAGAACACTAGATCAGAATAATGGACTGGTCAGGGGTAAAGGAGGCCTTGGGCAGTGGAAGGCATGAGAACAAAGCAAAGGCAGACACAAGGGTAACAGAGATGGAACAGAGAGCAGTACATGCTTCAAACAGCAGGGACAAAGACCAATGGGGCCTGCATATCAAGATGGGCCTGGAAAGCCATAGGGTTGGAGCTAATATGGCTACAGGAAAGGTAACAGGAAAAAGTAAGTTAGCCCAAGATGTAGGATCATAATAGACCTTGAATGGGTCTTCTTGCCCTAGAGCCCAAGAAATGCCAATAGGTCATGAAATGATAAAGTTCTGTGGTAAAATAAGTTTAGAAAACAGTTTATCAACAGGTAAACAGGTTTCCTCATTCCAAGTCCTCTCAGACCTTTTGATATGTGCCACTGATGGGTAAGTCATTACATAGTAGTGGGACAATGGGAGATAATACCCGAGTTGCATCTTCAAGAAAGGCCATGATGAGGATGATTTAGTTTGGAGCTCTGGAGCTTCATTGAAGCCATCAGACTCTAGCTCAGACCCTCACCCAGCCCTTTGCTTCCCCTATGCCTGGGCCTCTACATCACTGAGAAGTGAATCAGGCTTTTGAGAAAGTTCCTCCAGGAAAGGCTGAGAAGGCAGTTCAAAATGTATTATAGGAAAACACTCAACCCAGGGGATGGCCTCCCCTAGGCCCCTGGGCTGAAGCAGATGGTGTGGTTTAAATTTCAGAAATTGAGGCCTTTTTAAGGAAAAGAATGTTGGCAGGCATCAAGGCACTTATAAAACCATCTGAGTTGATGAGGGAATCCAGGCCTCATGCCTTTAGAAGATGAGGTAACATGAACAGACATAAGGAACCTGTAGGCTCAGATGAGGGTCTTCTGACAGAAGCTTCCAGACTAGAGAAAAAGACAGGGCTGCAAGGTGAAAGAGGGGATAGGCCCAGTGCTTTCTGACACCCTACACTGAGACAGACGACAGAACCTACTCCCTTTGGAGCAAAGGAAACACTCTACCCTCACCATATGATCAGAGGTGTGTGGGTGGGTGGGAGGTAGGTTATTGAATGGGAGGAATGGTAAATGGCGCTCCTTGGAAAAGATCCAAAATTCATAATCAGAAAGATTAGGATCAAGTCCTGGCCTTGCCACTTTCTAGCTGTGTGACCTGGGAAGTGACAGCTGGCAAACCTTCCCTTCTTCAGCTGTAGGATGGAGTATCTATAGCAATATAATAAAAAGGACTCTGAGCTAGTACTTGACACAGCAAGTAAACAGTACTTTTCAGCTCCCATTGTTTTGGGGGGGACACACATAGGTGGCCGCCTTGTGGTGGTACAGATGAAAAGCAGGACTAGGCCTAATATACTTCCAGTAGAAAGATGCCTTGGTAGAGGTGTAATATGTCAGAGGTGGCCACTCAGTAGACATTTGGAGTAGCAGAATGATATGGGTCACAAATTTGTCTGTGCCACTAGCTTGTCATGGAAAGGACATGGCCATGACAATTGTAGTCATTGATGAACACATCTGCTTGAGAACAGGTACTAAGTATTGGGAGAGAATGGTGGCTAGAAGTTTGTCCTGAAAGTGTGGTGACTTGGTCTATCATTAACCTGGGACAGCCATCGAGGAACTGTGCCCAATGGCTAGGGGACTGAACAAGATGCTCATTGGCCCCAAGGGGTAAAGAACTGTTCACAAAGACAGCTCTTATCTCTAGAGTTGATGGCTTGCACCAGTTGAGTCCATTAGGGAAACTACTTTTCAGAAAGAAAAACTAAAGTTGGTTATGGTTGCACATGTCTATAATCCTACCAAGTAGGACGCTGAAATGGGAGGATTAAATATTTGAGGTCTGGTAAGATGGCTCACTGTGCAAAGTCATTTGCCACCAAGCCTGATGACTTGAATTTGAGTCCCAGGATCCACATGGTGGAAAAAGAGAATTGACTCAAGAAATACTCCACTAGCCTCTGTGCATGTCATGGCATATGTGTGCATGTACAACACACACACACACACACACACACACACATACACTAAATGCAAATTTTAAAAATGTTTGAAGTTAGACTACACAGTGAGTTCTTGGCCAGCCTGAAACTGTGAGATTTTTGTCTCAGAAAAAGGGGGGAGGGAGAAAGTTGGTAGAGGCATTTGGAGGGGGGTGGATGTTTCTAAGGTTCACTCAGCTAAAGCAGCTTGACTATATACAGCTATTATCAGATCATTAAATGGGTCAAGTCAGTGTCCCACACTACCACTAACTCACTAAGTGAATTTCATTAGGGTTGCTTACAGGAACATGGGTGAGGGTATCTTTCCTTCTCTCAGCAACCAAGCAACCATTAACTGGCTATAGACACTTAGGGAGGAGTGAGTAAGGCCTCATGAACCTTTCCTCCTCTGTGACAGGCTCAATATTACCACACATCTTGTGTAAGTAGCTACAGTGACTGTGAGAGTCCAACAACTGCCAGACAGTGATGGTATATGTCTTTAATCCCAGCACTGGGAAGCAGAAGCAGATGGATCTCTGTGAGTTCAGGGTCAGCCTGATGTACATAGAGTTCCAGGACAGCCAGGGCTACATACATAGAGAAATCCTGTCTCAAAAAACAAACAAAAAAGAGTCCAACAACTATGTGAACTACGTCATGCCCAAAAGACTGTGCTCCACAATACTCTAACCCTTCCCTCAACTATTAGATTCTTTCTACTCCTTCCACGATGTACCCTGAGCCCTGAAGAGAACAACATAGATCAGTGCTCAACAGTCACTTATTCTTAACACTGATCAATTACCAGTCTCAAGAGAGAATTTTTCTGTAATGTTGTATCAAAAGACAGCAGACACTAGAAAAATCTAGGTTGCCTGGCCTGTGGGGATTGTGTCATTATGGTTTCTTCAACAACTGGAAATGTGTTAAGGTCAGGGTAGACTCCAGTCATTCAGTATTCTCTAGAACACACTTTAGAATCCCCCACATTCTCTCAAGGATTCCACTGATTGCCCAGTTCCAAATTGCTTGATCGACCTTTCCCTCCTGGACTTTGTTGGCCTGACCCTCTATATAATTTTACTGGAACTGCCTCCTGCTGAGACCTATTTTCTGTGTATTTCCAACCCCAATTTTGGTGAGACTTACCTCCTGTCTAAATCTGTGGGCAGGGGACAGTATGAGGATCCTTAGAAGCAACCAGATTTCCTACCCTATGCCAGGTCTACCCTGTGTTGCTAAAATGTCTAGGTTTATCCAGTAATGAGACACAAACTGTGACTCAACGATCCCCTGTGGAGTTTTATTGGTGGACAGGGAAGGAAAGTGGGGTGGGGGGAGTGGGAGGGTGGGGGTGTTGTAACCAACCCATGCAGAGCTGAGAGAGAGAGAGAGAGAGAGAGAGAGAGAGAGAGAGAGAGAGAGAGAGAGAGAGAGAGAGAGAGAGGATGAGATGACGAGAGAGGAAGACAAGAGTAAAAAAAGAGCATAAGCGGCAGGAGTCAATCCTTTAAAGGGGTCCTTTGTACCTGCATGGTTCTCACAGAACTGTGGGCTGACCAGAGTGTTGCCTGAATGCATCCAGCCAGGTAACAGGGCAGGCCAGCCTAATCCATGAACCTTTCACCCCGGAACACCCCCTTCTGACTTTATGAGGCTGAGGCATGGTCTGGGTGAAGATGGAAACTGTGGCTCTCTAGAAACCACAGGCAGTCACCATTCCTGTATGTCAGGGCTGCCCACATTCCTAGACAGGATTTCCCACTCCTCCCAATGAGAAGTTTGGGAGGACTCTTACCTTTGGAGTGAGGTACTTGGTTATTATTTCCTTCCCCTTCTCTCCAAGTTTTTCATCTGGAGTAACTTCATATTCTGCCTAAAACAGAAGGAAAAAAGAATAACTAACAGTTTTACTACTGAAGTTGGAATAATTATGGACCCCTCCTTCTGCAGAATAGGTAACTGTGGCACAGAGAGAGGAAGACCTGGCCAAGGAGATCAAAGTCCAATCAAAAACTTATACTCTTCATAGGAATTGATTGAGCCAACCATGAACTGAAGCCTCTGAAACCATGAGCTCAATAGATTCCTGCTACAAATTTGATTTTTCTAATAGAAAATAGAAAGAGAAATTTGACAAAAAAAAAAAAACATGGTGATTTTTCTACATGGTCTTTTCAAAACTTTAAAAAGAACCAAGTAACATGACAAGGGAACAGGAACTATTATTTATTTTTAAGGGAAAATAGGTTTACAACTTCAAATGATATAGTCTAGCCGTTCTCATCCTGTGGGTCACAATCCCTTTGGGGGTTGCATATCAGAAATTTACATTATGATTCTTTTTGTTGTTGCTATTCTTGCTTTGGTTTTTGAGACAGGGTTTCTCTGTGTAGCCCTGGGTCTCCTGGAATTTACTCTGTTGATCAGGCTGGCCTAGAGCTCACAGAGATCCGCCTGCCTCTGCCTCCCAAGTGCTGGGATTAAAGGTGTGTCCTACTACCACCCAGCTACAATTCTTTTTGTTTGTTTGTTTGTTTTTTTGAGACAGGGATTCTCTGTGTAGTTTTGGAGCTTCTCCTGGAACTCAATTTGTAGACCAGGCTAGCCTCGAACTTACAGAGATTGCCTGCCTCTGCCTCCCAAGTGGTGGGATTAAAGGCTTGCACCACCACTGCCAGGCAACAGAAGCAAAATTACAATTATGAAGTAGTAACAAAATAATTTTATGGTTGGGGGTGTCACCACATCAGGAACTGTATTAAAGGGTCTCAGCTTTAGGAAGATTGAGAAACACTGGTATAGTCCTTCATAGTGGACTAGAGTTCAGGGTAGCAGGAATGGGGACCCAAGCTAATCACATTTTTTTAGATCAGGAAGCAGAACACTCAGGCTGAAAGAATTGGGCTGTAACATGCAAGGTTTGCCACTAGAGCACCATGTCAGCCTCAGGGCCTAACCCTTATGAGTCAAAGGTTCACATCCAGAACTCTTTCTTGGCACCATTAAGAAACTTAGGACTCCAGGTCAATGGGTTAATCTGGGAAATTCCAAGCTCTAAAGAAATCAGAAAATTAAAGTTTTACATTTTCTTTGAGCCAAGAAGGGCTCCTTCACTCATCCAATGCACTTGCTGAATGGATGAAAGGCCTTGTGTGTAACAAGAGGCTTGAGTGAGTTTGCCTTTCTCATTTAGTCAAAGCAACTAATTGCAGATGGTGTACAACCACTTCAAAATCTACCACCTCAGAATTTGTCAGCCTCAACAACAAAGTACATACCAAAAAGGCATGGGTTTCAATGGTACAGTAGATAGATACTAGGCCCTCCTTGACAAATTGAAGGCAGCGCATAGCTCAGGATCTAAGTGCTGGTCCCCTTATGCCTGACAAAACACCCTCCTGGAAATACAAAAAGAAAGGGCAAGAAGCATGTGCAAGAGCCACAGATGGAACAGCACAGTTTTATCCAAAGCAATCAAGTCTCCTTGCCTTGATGGCCCTCTTCTAATAAAAGAGCCAAGAGCCACAACTCTCCAATGTATAACCATGAAACCTATGACCATTTAGAATAGTGTGTGGTTCCTCTAGAAGACATGCAACCATTTAATTTATAGGTTAGAACTGAGGTTCAAAGAGGCAATGGTAACACAGTAAGGACTGGCCCATTAGGCCCGGATTCCTATTCTGCCACCAAGTCATAGTATATCTCTACTACAGTCAATTCCTCCTCAGCAAAATGAGGCTTTGACTACTAAAACGTTCATGGTGTCTTGACTGGTGAATTTTGAGATGCTTGGAGGTAGCTCTTTCTTCTTGATTGTTCCTGTTACTTTCTTCCCCTATATTGTCAACAATTCCCTCTCTCTCTCTCTCTCTCTCTCTCTCTCTCTCTCTCTCTCTCTCTCTCTCTCTCTCTCTCTCTCTCTCTCAGAGAGAGATTAGGAGAGGGAGGGAGGGAGAGAGGGAGAAAGGGGGAGACAGAGATACCACATGGAGCATTGATGACAGAGTTGCCCAACATGGCAGGTATGACTATTCCCAATATACAGAGGAAAACACTGAGGTTCCAAACTTCAAATTTAGCATAGCTAGTAGCAACAGAGCAACACTAAGGCCAATCCCCCTTTTCCAGGGAGAGCAAGGAAGCACCCAGTATCCTGTGTTCCTGGAAGCCTCACCCTGTGGTCTGGCACATGGACATAGCCAGACTGCTTTATAGGGCCAGGTCCCTGGGCAAATGGCTGACCATTTGTTGGTAACTCAATCCCATTCTGAACACTGAATTTGCACTGTCCTAAAATACATCTATAAAGGCAGTTCTATTTAACCAGACAGAAGTCTGGGGCTCACTAATCAGTCTCAGTGACCAGCTGAAAATATTATTGCTCTGGGTTCTAAAAGCCATGTTAAAAAGGAAAATAACATCACATTCAGGTCAGTTGTCTCCCAACAGAGGCCAGATGGGCTCAAAGCTCCACCGGAAGGCAGCTGAGAGCACTTGGGGACAGGCCTTCCCACTCCTGGATCAAAAGGCCTTTTTTTTTTTTTGACGAGACTATGTCAGGCCACCACCACTTGAGAAGCATTCGTTTTGGGAGGCAGAAAACCAACAGAAAGATGCCAGCTGGTTTTTCCACACTGATTAAGTCACCTAGAGTGGCAGGCCTTGTCTCCTGAATGATCCCAATGAGGACTGAGGCTCATGGGGACAAGTCCTGAGAGGCCACCTAAAGAGAGAAGAAAGGTGCCATGATGGATGGGCTCAAGGAAGATCACATGACACAAGACTGGGACTAGCCCAGAAATCACTTCTCTGCCAATATCCCTGTCCAGTAGTAGGGAAAACTTTAACCAGTTTATACCATCTCATACCAGAAAATAGAAGCAGCAAATAGAAGCTTGTGCGATGAGCCTAGAAATTTACAAAAGTGGCAAGAAGATGATGAAAGAGAAAGAAGAGAAATATCTATGTGCTTTGAAATAAACTCATAATTCCAGCACTTGGAGGTTGAGGCAGGGAAATCTCGAGTTCTAAGTCAGCCAATTCTATATTGGAAGACCTTGTCTCATAGTTTCTAAAAGACAAGAAAGGAAAACCTAAAACAGGGAGTGTCCTTTGAACTCTACCTGAGTCCTACCTACTGCTCATACATAACTCAGTGCCCTTGGAAGCTATTTCTTCTTTGAGATTCATTCCAGGTGCAAACAAGGCAGGCAGTATTTCACCAGTTTCTCTGTGATTTATAACAAAGTATATCCTTGGGGAGCAGGTCCTGCCCTGACACAAGGTGCAAAATGCTCTATTGAGTTCAGTCAACAAAGGATTATTCATCTATCTGTACTACCATCTATCTGTACTGCCAGAGAGCACCATCATCTCTGGACATCCCAGCTTATAAACCTATTTCAGGCTCTGGGCCTGCTCAAAATGCATCATCAATCTCAAAAAATGCCATGAAAAACAGGTCCTAGCAGGGAAAGCCCCTCTCCCTCAGATGATTTTTTTAGGACCATGCTCAAAAGAGCCTCTTTGGATCAACAGCAGCATCTAAACAGGATGTGTGACACATACTTCAATTCAAGCGTTTGAGACAGAGGCAGGTGAATCTCTGTGAGTTTGAGGTTATCCTGGTCTACATATTGAGCTCCAAACTAGTTAAGGCTTTGTCTTTAAGAAAAAGAACTGGAGTTTATACCAGTTTTTGCTTCACTTCAGCAGACAATGTGTCACCTTCTCTTGAACTGACAGAAATATGAAGTCAGGCATGCCATGAAACTTTGCTATCTCCAGCTTCTGTAATTATTGGTGTGGTCAGCTATTCCAAAGCCTATGTATGATGCAGGCCTGTACCATGCCTGATCAGCAGTTCTACACCAGAAACAGCAAGATCCACCCACAGTGGCCCTAGTTATCTGCATGTGCTGACTCCAGAGGCTGCTCCTCCAAGCCCTTTCCACCCAGTAGATGGGGAGGATGGTGTGAAGATGAAGTGGTTTTCTCAACTCCCTTCCACCTTGGCATCTCAGTCCCCAGACCTTCTGAAGACCCAGTTCTCACAGATCAGCCTTCTACTTCAGTCCCTTCCCTCATCCTAGCATGTCAGCACGTGGTGACAGCATAAGGGAAGCACATCGGTTAATCTTCTCACCTTGTATGCACTCTGTAAATTCTAAGCTATGAACCACATTCACACTTCAAGTGTCCATTTCCTGGGAAGCCCCAGGTGATATTCTGCATCACGCTGCAGGAGGTAGGCCGCAACCTAGCTCTCTTTCTGCTCTACAGCTACAAAGCTGAGCCACTGCATGAGGAACACTCTCAGAGGTCCTGGGTCAGATGGATCTGGCCTACTCCAAAAGCTACACCTGCCTGTCATATTTTCCTCATTGAATACCCCAATCAGGTCCCTGAGTCAGAAATTCACTGTGTAGTTTTGTCACAGATGGGATCAGCAAGACAAGGGAAGGACAGACTATCTATGTGAGGGTATAGATACTACCAGCAATGACATTTGGACCTTAGCCTGTGAGTGATGTCTAAGCTAGAGCAGGTGCTGAACAGAAGGAAGGAGAGAGCCGTTGGCTCTCCCAAGAGGGAGGTGACAAGTCCCAGTATCAGAGTCTCACAGCAGAGGAGCTCTAGTATACCACCTCCTGTCTGTCCCACATTCCTCTTCTGAGACTCACCCTGATGGCTCTCTACCCTCTACCTGGTGGCTGCTTTTCCTCCCCACTATAATGAGTTCCCCAAAAACCAAGATCATCAGACCACCATACAAAAGCCTGTCCCTATCTTAGTTCTGAATGAAAGTCAGGCAAAACTGCTCTCTTGGCTCCTGAGACCAAGAGACACACACGTACATATCAGAGGACA